GATTATTATGCAGATTATAACTCAGATTATAACTCAGATTATAATTCTCTGTTCCATATTACATTCAGTTTATGTAGGTCTGTATTAAGGAGGAGTGTCTGAGGACCGAACGTGTCGGCAGATTGTTGTGTTTATGAAATCATCTGTCTTTGTGGGATTAATCTGGTCAAAGTTTCCTCTCTGTGTTTGGAATTATCCAACATGACGTCCGTCTCTTTGTCCTTTCGTCCCCTCTGACTCATCCTTCTCTCTGGTTTGATCCTCCCACAACTCGAGCTTTTCAGACTGTCCCGTTGGACGGAGGGATGTTTCTGTCTCCGTTAATCAAACCTGATTTAAAGTTTCAACGCAGCTCCACGTCCTCGCCTTCATGAAACTCGTTCAGACTCTTAGATGTCAAAATGACAAGAGTTCAGTCATGAAGTGGACGAGCCCGGTCGATCATAATTCGGTTCAGATTAAAAGGTTCATCAGACAGTTTATTCTGTTAAACTCCTCCTGGCGCGTGTCCTTGAACGCAGCGTTTGAACATTGAGAAACAGACAAAGCTCCGTTTGCTCCCAGAAGGCCTCGAGTGTTTCTGTTGTGCAGCTGGTAAACCGCAGGTCTGGTTCTGAGCGACCCGACCCGCTCGGCCCTCCTAATGTAAACCGTCAGAACCAAAGGAGGGGCTTGTCTTCAGCCGAGCCCAGGGAGGAAGTGAAACATTATTAAGATGTAGGTGGAGTTCATTTTGAAAGGACAAACAGGACGTGAGCGTTGGTGCTGCTTTCAGGGACTCTGCCGAAAGTTGGAAGATTTAAATTTTATTAAAGTTGAAGGAACCCTTCCAGAGGTGCTGCTTGTTGAAGAAGCTGCAGGTTGAGGTAAAACCAAAGATGGCCTCTCTGCTGGAGCACACATGGCTTAAATAAAGAAGTTATTAATAATTTTATTATTTTTTATTAATATTTAACAGTTCTGGTTGTTGATCTCGCCCTGAGACCTCCAGCAACTTGACTTTTTAAAATCTTCAGATCAGTTGATGTGTCAGAGATGAGATTAATTTATTTCATACAAAGATGAACAATTTAAAACAATGTTAAAAACACAATCATGTTACGTATTTATTGTTAGTAAAACAGCACGTTTGAACTTATAGTCATAACTTGGAGAATATTTCCCATAAATCAGCAGTGAAGCACATTTTCCATCCCAGAGAACATTTTTATTTTGTTTTGAAAAACGTTTTATTCTGCGGGCAGATTTATGATTTGGATGCTGTGGGAAAAGTTTATTGTCTCGTGAACTGACGGCTCGATGAAACGTTCGGTCTCAGTTTTACGTTTGTGGTGGAACAAAAGCATGAGAAACTATCTGTGAGATCCAGAGGTCCTCAAAAGCACCGGGAGGTTGAAGAAGTCCACAGAGTCCCATGAGACCAACCCGTGTGTGTGTACTTGTTTATGTAGTTGTG